TTTGGGGGGGGGGGGGGGGGGAGGAGGCAGAAAGGGGAGATTTTGAACCGGAGATTGAAATCTCTGCATTTTTTCCTCGGCCTGGGTTAGAGTGGAACCTCAAAGGAAGCCAAAATCTGAGTTAATCCTCTTTCGTTCTGTTTTGTTTAATCTTGTTAATAGAGATTCAACTATAATTTGCTTGGTTTTTCAAATGTCATTTTGCGTTCGCTCAGGCTTCGGGATTATGAATTGGTGTGGTTGCCCCAACAAAAGATGGGAGATATTTCGGGGGGAACGGGAGAACAGGAGAAAACTCTATTGATTTGCTTGTTTCGTTCAGGATATCTACCGGAATACGTGTCGGTTAATCATCTATCTATTGAATTCTATTTTTGCATGATTTTAGTTGACGTTACAAGGAGATGCACTTTTGTACCAGTTGCTCTGTTAGCAAGCGGTCTTCTCATCGATCGAGATGTCTCTATATCTAATCTATCTATCTAGATATGACCTATGGCTGTATTTTGATCCTGTGTAATCTGGATGCCAACAAACAGTTTTGGAATCAAGTTTCTTGCTATATGAAGCTGTTGCGTCTTTTCCTTCTTTCTCGGTTTCCCTTGTGGGTGCGTGTGCGCGCGTGTGCACCTGTGTGCTCCCTGCTCCAAATAACTTATTTTTTTAAAAAAAGGGAACGAACACAAACACACACATACCCAGAAAGAGTCCCTTTTTAAAATGACAGTGGCTCAGAGCGTGAGATCCCTTTCCAGCTTACCTGCGCAGCATAGCGATGAAAGGCAAATTGTAGCTGATGCCTGTCGATGGACTTATTGGTACATAGGAGGGGGTGGCTGGTGAGAATATGGCTCCCAATTAAAGAGACTGCCCTCCTTCCTCTCCCCTCCACCCCCCCCACCACAATGCACACACACTGCTTGGCCACGATTGTACAGGATAGAGACATAGCAGGCTGACCCAGCTGGGGTTGTGAAAGCCACGAAACCAGACGGAGGGAGATCAGCTTCCAAGAATGCAAAGCTCAGAGCATTTTGCAAGATGGATATTTTCAAGGGATTAAGAGAGATTTCCTGGTCAGGAGAGCTCTCTTTGGAGTCGCCGCGACTTCATGGAATATTCATAAATATTCCATCTGCTTTGTCAGCCGCAGAATGGGAAGGAAGGGAGCAAGCCCAGGAAGACGCAAAACCCCCTCGCCCGGAGACAGCAGACAGGACACAATTTCCTGAATGGGCCATGAAAAAAAATCACAGAAGAATATGGTTTCCGCGTAAGGAATTGGGAAGGCCATTTTCAGTCCTGAGGGCCATGCTTTGAGACGAACGTCGGGGCTCAGCAGAAGGATCTACAGCAGTGTCCAAACTTGGCCACTTTAAGATGAGTGGACTTCAACTCCCAGAATTCCCCAGCCAGCATGGGGAAGACTCATCTTAAAGTGGCCAAGTTTGGACAACACTGATCTACAGGGTCAAAAAAGTTCTAGGTGGCCCCAATGGGGCCATGGAAACTCCAGTTTTTTACGTGTGTCACCTAAAAAGGTTGCACCATTGTGGCTGCCATCTTGACCTTTTTGACCACACCCTGCAGACATCCCTGATCCTCAGGATGGATTATGGGGCTTAAAAAAAAACATTAAAACATTTCCAGCATATGTGTGTGTGTGTGTGTGTGTGTGTGTGTAATAATAGGAAAGGGGACATTTGATTAAAGATGCTCCTTTGGAGGTGGATTATTTAAACATTCCCTTTGGGTGCAGTACCGCTCAACAATATGTACGGATGACGTGCACTTTCAGGAGGGAGATGTGCCTGGAGAAAGATCCAGCAATGTGTCTGATTCTGATTCACTTCGCAGCCACGGCTGCTTTTCACTCCAGACAACAAGAACATTGCCTGAGGATCACAGCTGATGAGTCATGTCTCCTGTAGTTCCAAAGCTCTTTTGGAGGGCACCGCTTGAAAATACGACGAACAAAGCCTGTGGATTGTTAACATTCGTGCATAAGGTGACTTGGGTGTCCAGCAGGCGTGACAAAGTGGAGAGAAATCTCTCTTTTTTTTTGGTGAAGACTCGGTCAACAGGAGAACTGGGCACAAAACCTTGGTGGGCACCTGGTGAATCGGCATGGTCCCCTTTCTGCATTGCCCAGAATATCCATATTATGCTCTTGACATTTGACCACAAATGGGCACTTTGGCAGCCCGATGTTTCTGCAGTTTTTCCAGAGGGAACAATAGATTCTAGCATATCCTTTTAACCCTGAAATCTTGCAGTCCTTCCCCCCACCCACACAAAAATGGCCCTTGTGGGTCCTTTTAAAGATTAAAAAGCGTCATGGCCAGGGAGGGGAGAACAGCTCAGAATATAATCTAGGGCAGGGTTCCTCAACCTTGGCCACTTTA